ACAATGCACCGCTGGTTCCTATTGACAGATTGACTAGTTTTCCGATGTTTGATTACTGCTCGTGTGTTTAAGGCCCATATTAAGCATAAATTCGTTCTTATTAGTGGAGATGGTCACATCTGGCAGTTAAAACTAACCTTAAAACCCAAACCGTCGACTGAATTCTACCTACAAGCCATTCTGTTGTCGAGTTGCGTTACACAACTCGGTCTTTGTATGGATTTAAGAAACCTTTCAATGAACAGCCCTTCGGATTGTAAGCACACATATTTCCGTTGAGCACATAGGCTTGCCTCGCATAACGCTAGTGTGTCACAAAATAGAGTTACCGCTGTATCATGATTTTCTGAAAAACAGCTTACCGATAAGACCAACGAACGTGTGAACAACTAAAACACCAGTTAAGCAGGAACTATAGCACAAATAAAGACTAGACTCCAAGGTAAAAAAATACAGTGGTAATTCTAAATATATTGCAAAATATTAGCGTGCATACATCATATGTTATTATTATTTAAATGTGCAGACCATATTTATGGGAAATAGGGCTCCATATGGAAATTTGTGAAAGTCCTCGGCTTAGGCCTTAACCTCTTTCGTAAAGTGGATTGAGTTAAGGTATCAATAACCTGAGTAAACGGTGTGATTGCTTTTTTAATAAGTGAGTTAAGCTAAATTGTGCCTGTGTCACTTTTTGCCCCATTGCTATACTCTTTAAAGGGTATAGGAAGAAAGTTACGGTTGTTTGGTAACTTACTGGCTGAAGCGGGAGGTGACGGAGACCTACCCGTTGGCAAGGTTATGTCACTTGAATCACTGTCAACCTGTTGTTCCTGAAGGCATTTTAAGTAAAGCAAATGCAATGCTTACCGGCTCCGTATCACTGGATAAGTCAATATCCGTACGCATAAAATCTTGGAATTTCTTGGGTTCCTTCTTGGGCCTCTTAGAACGGCGCTTGTCGTCGGACATAGGTAATCTAAGATTGAAAGGTCGCATTAAGCGCCTGTTGATCTGCTGGTTACTGTTTGAACAGTAACCGGCTACAGTCACTTCCAGCGCAACTGGTAGGTGTTTTTTATTTTTTTATTTATATCATAAGGTACATAAAATGGATAAGCAAAAAAAGTTTGAAAGTTTATTGTTAAAAAAGCAAACTTACCTTGGTGGCATCCGTAGAGTTAACTGGCACTGTCGCTGATGTCGCATCGCTCGTTCATTTCAATAAGAACGTACTCATCCTTTGAGGGGAAGCATGCATACTTCCGGACTTTGGGCGTCAACGGGCAGCCCTTCACCGTTTTTCCTAATTTTGCTTGAAAAACCTTTAATTCCGATTCGTCTTGAGGGTAACAGCAGAAGTTGCCAACATCCTGATACTCAGCATACACTAACTTTATGTCACCGCACGGATCACGTACGATGTTTTGCACACATATCAATTTTCCACCAATAGATATAGAGCCGTTCGAAGGACTCGCCCCTACATGAAGGGTGCCATTCGTTACATACTTAAACTGCGTGAATGTTCCACCGCCGGGTGACAGTGGTCCGCTGTAGTGCTCATGCTTACAAGTCCATTCAAGTGGACCTGGTAAAACGGCAGGCAAACTTGCAACGCCTTCATGCTGTCGCTCCGCTTGCTGAAGTAGTTGTGGTGGTTTTCGTAACATTTTCTTCAACTTCCCTAAGAAGCTCTCAAAGGGAAAC